TACTCTAAACTTAAATATTCCTAAACAAAAGGAAGGTACCAAATTTGAACTGGGGAGGGGGGGGTGGGGGTGTTATAGTTTTGTAAGGAGATGTTAAGCACAATTGTGGGAGCTAATCACTTTTGCAGAATGTCGTGTGTATGTGTGGTTACAATCCCAAATTTTTCCAAGGTACCACTGATTTCTCTTTTAATATGGGCATGTGCTTTTTACAGTATTTTTGTTTTGTTTTCTATCCAAATGCAATACAATATTCAAAGTGCCATATATACGTCTAGAAACTGCCTACACATTATTAGGCCTTGGTTTAGAGATTGCTGCAGTTCGCCTTTCTATTTTGTTTTGGGTTTGTTTTTTCTTTTGGGTCTATTTATGCCAGTGTCATGAAAGCTCTTGTCACCTGCTAATGTCTCCCCTTTGCCTTTACTGTGTTGAGTTATTGGTAAATGTGTATTGTGATGTACTCAATTTGAACAGTTGGTTTAAAACCTTGTAGATAAACAATAAACTTCCCTATACATTTGAAGGTTAAACGTCTTTCTTAGTGAGTGCGAGCGCGTGTGACACTTGGCGATACAAACCGTGGGGGATCACGCGTGTTTTGGTGGTGGTGGGATATTTTTGAATTTAATAAAACAGAGGTACAGTGCAGAAGAGTCAGTGTGGGTGCCATGTGTCGGCCACTGAAATGACTGCAGGTCTGTGGTGATGCAGTGCATGGTGAAGTGTTACTATGAGTGAATATAGTTTAAAAAACTTAAAAAAAGGGGGGGGGGGAATAAAGCACAATGTATAGTCCACAGCAGTCCTAACAGGAACTCTACTCACTTCAGGGGCTTCCATCACAAATCCTGATTAAGCTCTAACAATCACGGTTTCTTCTGTTGGTTTTCATATTCTGAAGTGCTTTTTTTTTTTTTTTTCTTCTTTCTTTTTTTGACAGTGTGGTAGCTTTGCATCTCTATAGATATTGTCTTGATCTATAAGAAAAAGAGAGAAAAACTTTGTTATTTTTCTTGTCTGATAATCGGTAGGACTCTGTTCATGTTCCACCAATAATTTAATAGATGTTTTTTGTCTTGTCTTGATGAAAGCCAAAGTGAGTGCATCTTGATGTAATCTGTATTATACACACAGTACAGTTATATATAAATATATATTTTTCGTTCTGTTCAATTACAAATTTTTGAAACTGGGTGGGATTTGAAAAAGACAAAAAAAGACATACACAGGCTGTCCAATTTCTACAACTGGTGGTTCATATGTATTTTGTACCCGTGAAGCTTTTTATATTGGAAATTAAAGGAAAAAAAAAATCTATATTGGGGGAGAAAAAAAAATAAAAAATTGTCTGGCCTATCAATGTGGCCTTGCCTTGACCAGGTCTTGAGTCTGGCCTCTTGCTGGTGTCAAGCAATTTATTTATTTTTTTCTTCTTCTTCTCTCTTGCTTTTGCCACTAAATGATGCCTGATTTTTGATCTTCTTTATCCCCCTTGGATCTCTGTGTCCCTCACTTCATGAATCAGTTTCAGGGGAGGGGGTGGGGTTAGGATCCTCTAAATTGTGGTAAGTTTCATGTTAGTATATTTGTGCTGTCCACATACTTTAATGGTCATCAGGATTTTTGACAACTTGTGTGGATAATTGTCTTAGTTGAAAAGGTAACTGTTTAATTTGAGCCTTGCTTTTTACCTGTGTGTAGTTTTGTTCTTTCCCATAGTGGAGTGCGTAGCTGAAAGACTGTTCTGTTTTTTTCCCTTTTTTTTGGGTCGATGTTTGTTTGTGTGGTGTGTTTCTTTGCCTCTGTCTCCGAATTAAACCATTTCCCCTAATATGGACTGTGTCTTTGTGTGTTGTGCTTGTCCAGTGTTGTAAAGGCATTGTACAAACCTCCACCCACCCTTCCCCAGTGTGTCATGTCTCGCTAACTTGTTCTCTTTGTTGCGCTTCTTTCTGGTTTTACCTGAGCTGTAACAGGTGGGGTGGGCAGGACGAGCCATATCGTATTGTGTTGGGTTTTATCGGTAAAAGTACTACTGATCTGTGACCCTGCACCCAAGAGCCAAAGAAATGCAGGCACTTTTTAGTTGCATTTGCACAAAACATCAGTTCAAACTCAGATGTTGTGGTATAAAGAATGAGCAAGTCCCGTTAAACTGATTGTTTTATTATAATTTTTAAAAATGCACAATTGCAGTACATCAATGAGCTCAGTTCTTAAAAGCAAAGATCTGAAGCAGTTTGCCTGAGATAAATGCAAATCTAGTTTTGTCCCCTCTTTTACAGGTTCTCAAGAGGGTTATTTGCTGCTCTGCTTTTATATTGATTTGAAATGAATATACTTTCTCTCCACACAAACATGTCCAGTGTTTACCAAGAGTGGTCCACAAAATAGACTATCCATTGAGAGGCAGTTCCCTGGGTGAAACTGCATTGGAGAATTTCCAGACTGCAATGAAGGGAAGGCAACTGTAGTTCACCCGCCTGTTAGAACAAAGGTATGCAGAAGAGCATCTCTGAATGCACAACACGTCAAAGCTTAAAGCAGATGGGGCTGCTACAGAAGATCCTACCAAGGCCCAGTCCTGTTAGATAAGAACAGAAGCTGATTGTCCAGAAATGGACAATAAAAGACTGGAAAAAATGTTGCCTGGTATGATGAGTCTTAATTTCTGCTGCAACATTCAGATGGTAGGGTTGGAACTTAACATAAACAACATTTAAAAGCATAGATGTCTTCTTCCCCTCTTATGAACAATTCAGGCTGCTGCTACAGTTGGTGTAATTATGTAGGGAATATTTTCTTGGCACACTTCAGACCTTATTTATTTTTTGCTGATGTTCACTGTGCTTAAATAACCTCTACAGATTCCAGATCTCATTCTGGTACAACTCCTTTTTGATGTCATGGAACAGGTGCTTGGCATCATGAAAGTTCAGCAGCTGCACAATGTGGTGCTAACATGGACCAAAATCTCTGAGGAATGTTTCCAGCAACTTAAGTCAAGTCTATTGTTGTACTGAGACTGCTCCGAAATCAAATGGGGGTCCAGCCTGGTAGTGGCAAGGTGTACCTAATCAAGTGACCAACAATAGTATGTGATCTGGTGTTCTATTGGACAAAATATCCAATTTGAAGATGAACCCATGGGATTTTCCTGTTTCCTGGTATGTTCTGGTAGTTGAGAAGACAAATACCTGAGGCGAAGTTAAAACATACTGACTTTTTTCTAGAATGTATCTCCTTTTAGTAAATATAAACAACAATTGACCACAGACCAAAGCTATTGTTTCTTAAAAAGTCTCATCTCTAAGATTTCCCCCAAATCTATAAATGGTCACATCTTAAATCCTCCTTTAGTAACAGGACACGTTTATTTCCCAGAGTGTTAGGGAGTGGATTTAGCAGCATTACATTAGCAGTCTAAAGGCATACAAAGAACCTCAAGATCCAACTTGTTCTGTTGCGAAAATGGTGTGAGAGGAGAAACTGGCATCTTTTCCCATGTACAGGCGTTTCCATGTTCTCAGTCATCAAACACACAGGATGTAAGGAAGTAGGATGTGACACGTCACAGTGCTAAGACGTTATGTGACTTAGGAAAGCACTTTCTGTACAGTGTAGCAAAGGTCTTTTCTATTTAACCATGAACTTCTGAGGAGTTTAAAAGTGGAACTTAAGGTAGTACAATAGCGCCACCCAGTGGTGGAGATCCCTCTGCAGAAAATGGCAGGCAGTGAGACGATACATAAAGATGCTTTGTCATTTTGGATTAATACAGAACATAAGGGAAAATTTAATAAGCTTAACACTTTGCAATTAAACTTTACATTTTCAATCGTGCTTTGGTTGCGCTTCAGCTATCAGAAAATGTTGGTTCTTCTGTCGTAAAGTAAACCAGGTCTATGAGCTGTTCGAATAATCTGATAGTGCTGGTGAAAAATTTAGGCTAAGTATAAAATGCACTGTTATTAAACTCCAGAGCTCTGGGATCTTTAAATCTGATCACAGTTTATGTGGAAGATCCTGAAGTTTGTGTCCTGGACTAATGAATGGTTGATCAGTTCTTATTAGCCATTATTAATTTAACATTAATTAACACAAAACATCAAAAGTTGCCTGTTACAAACTGCTCGGTGCAGGAAACCTGTGTGTGGGACTTGTGCATGTGTTTCATGCACTCACTGAAATGGGAGTTCGGGTGCTGTTTCATTGTTTGGAGATTCCTACATGATCCATGAAAGACCAGCAGGTGTGGGAGTCTGGGCATATGGTGGGAGCACAGGCATCTATTGTTACAGCGTCAAGGCTCACCTTGATCTCTGTCACCACTGGCCCTTAAAACACACAGACATGGCATACTGTCTCACCGTTTCAAAATTCCCCAATTCCCCAAAACCACCATTTTCATTCATTTGACCTCAGAACAGCCTCAGCATATTTAAAAAAATAAAAATAAAATGTAGCAACAGTTTGATTTTACCAGTTAATATTTTTAGTTTTAGTGTTGGTGTTTTTAAATAATTTTATGGTTAAATATTTGTCATGGGATATTTAAGAAGGTTAGAACAGCGATTTAAAAATGCACTTTTTATTTTTTCTGACTTAGAACATTATAGACCTTCCAGTCTGTAAATATATGAAACAACTTTTTTTTTCACGTGGTGTGGTGACAAATTCGACTGAAAAAACCCAGCAAGTCTTCTATATTTTGTTTTAAGTCGTTTTGTAAGTATTTTTCCCACAAAAGAGAAAAAAAAATCTAAAATAAATTAATTTAAAAAAAAAAAAAACAAACGTTTTTGTTGTTGATTTTTTTTCCCCACACCTATTTTCTTTCTTTCTTTTTAGTTATTTCAAAGTGTTTTTCATGCCTTAAATGCATGCTTTTATAAATTTTAAGTTCAGTTTCAGTTAATTATAATAATCTTGCTCTCCATTGGTAATTACGATGTTTTAAGAAGTCCCTGAACTCAGCACATACGTCGTCGCTTGGACACCTGTTGCGCTACTTCACTTGCTTCTGAGATTTTTAGCCATCTTAAAGACAACATAGCGCTGGCCCGGAATGTAAAAATGTAACCTCGTGCCTTACAGATTCAAACCTTGTGTTTAAGTAAAATTAAATACCATTTACTCGACTTAAATATCGACCAGATAAGCTTCAGCCAATCGCCTGCCGATGCGACATCTCCTCCCATTAACGTGTCCCTCCTCCGGGCAGTATGGCTGCCGTCCTGTAGCCTGTTCTCAGATGTGTGCCACTATCTCATGCGAGACTAAAGACCTGGAAACATGTCGGCCTTGATTTTGCTGAAAAGCTCGCTGAGCAGACTGCCGCAGAGCGTTGCTCGGCAGGTTGTCGGCTGCAGTTATCACACCGAGAGAGGTGTTTACGGGTACCGACCCAAGAGCACCGAGCGGGACCAGAAGTGGCAGAGCGAGCGGGTGGCTGCACTAAATCAAGGTCAGTATGGAGTTAAATTGCAGTACGGTCCCCTTAAGTTACCGTCGTTTAACATAGAGGCTCGGCAAAGACAGTTGCATTAACGCTTGTTTGTGGGGTTATTTTATTCCGCGGTATTTTTATACGAGTTTGAATGATATTCTGTTTAGGTGGCCTATCGTTGACTCTGGAAGCTGTTGTAGCTGTTAACTGCTGTGCAGTGAACGCGTCATTTATTTAATGTGAGCTCGCTGTCACGCGTTGTTCTCTTCTCTTGTGTTCAGATCATGCTCTAGCTAGACTGGTGGAGGCATACAGAGCTCACGGACACAAGGCTGCTAAAATTAACCCTTTGCTATCCCAAAAGCCTGTTGTTGACAGTGTCCCGGAGATTAGCATGCTGACTGGCACCATGAGTGGACAACTCAACACCTCAGGTAAAGGAATCCTGCAGAAAGCATGCACCTGAAGTTAGCATACTCACACTTGTTTACCTTTTTTAAACTATGAGGGGGAAAAAATAACACCCACAATGTCATTTCACTCTGAGTTTTTAAGTGTTAATCACGTCCAACTCTCTACTTTTTGCTCTTTAAAAAGTGTTAAACTTATATGGCGTTTGCCTTTCATTATGAAATCCTGCCCATCCCAGTATTTGCTGCACTCCAGTTTTGATGTTTAACTGAGGACTCTGTGTTCAATACAACTTGTACTTACTTGTTAGCATGTGCCATTCTTGCGCAACACCTGGTTGATCATCAGTTGTCTCTGAAAGTGAGGAGTTCTCTTCCAAAAATGGCTGTAGTGGAGAAAACAAAACGACACACACCATTTTATCCATGACTTAATGCTAAAGCATGAACTCTTTAAGGTAGACGCACATAAAGTTGTTTTTATGTTTTGTTATGCAAAATTTGTGTGGTTGCATCTGTTACTGCACCATTATTACGCCTAATTATGAGGTTAAAAATTAAAAGTTCTCTACAGGCTTATGTAAAGAAGCAAAATTTGATCCATTGAACACAAAAGTTTTTGTTTTGTTTTTTTAACTTTGACATGGTGTGCTGTCCAGTCACAACGAGCCATCAGAAGACGTCTACACGGTGCTCATAAAAGGACGTGGTCAGCACTAATACTTGGGCAAGGCAGGATGGCTCTTTATTCCAGGCTGTTTACACCTGAGCTGGTCATCTTGCTGTGATGTCACTGGCCTGTTAAATATTTTCATTAACAAGCAGCTGTACCCAGGGTTTTAATAGTTTTGCAATTTTCATTGTTTTTTATTTTTTTATTTAGTTTTGACTTCAGATTTTCAATTTTATATCAGTTTTAATTAGTTTTTACCAATTGTTTGCTAGTTTAGTTTTTTTATTTTTTTTTTAAAATCCTTAGTTTCAGTTTAGTTTTGATTAGTTTCAGTTATAGTTTTAGTTGTGTTTGCAATAATTAAGTGTAACAAAATCCCAGTTTCATCATATCAGTCATTCTCTTCTGCTTATCCTTGGGTATGTTGCTATTCCAGCTACCATACCCTGCACCCTGCACAGGTCGCCTGTCTGTCGCAGGGCTAACGCAGAGACAGACAACTCACATTCCCACCTATGGGTTCTTTAAATAAATAAATGAAGGCAGATGAACAACCATTGATACCAGGCAACTATAAAATGTATATCTTGGCCCCAATGAGACTATTAACTCTCGCAGCACTGGGTGTTCGTAATTTTGGTTCAAGTGAATTGATAAACTTTTTGAAGGCAATTTACTCAAACAGTTATGTAGATACCCCAGTCCTGTTGTCTTGGGATGCATCACGCTGCCTTGCCTGGGGTTAGCTTCTGTTTTCTGGGGATGAGGGTTGAGTGTGCTCCCTTACCT